ATTAAAAAGAAAGAAAAAAACTTTACTTCTGCCAGATTCTTATGACTCACTGGAGTTTTACACTACAAAAACACAAAATCTTACCAAGTATTTTCTGTTTAGTTTCAAGACAAACTTGAGACGATTTTGTTTCTAGACAAACTAATTTTTAGAAGAATATACTCCCTTAATATTGATTATTTCACTTAAAACATTTCCGTATGTATTTAGTTTAATAATCTGCCAGTGGAACTAGCATTTTCATTAAAATTAAAGAATTATTGGCTTAACACAAGCTGCTATATCTTGCTAAAAAGTTACTTGTGAATTAGTTTGTCATACTTCAAGTGTACTAAAATATTTGCAGCAGAAACTAGACCAGAATACTTGGTAAGACTTTGTGTTTTTGCAGTGAATGATTCATCTTCTCCGCCCCCTCAGAGCGAGCCAATAAGATCCTGCTGATGCTCTTCACCTTGGAGATGCTGATGAAGATGTACGCCTTCGGTCTTCAGATCTACTTCATGGCCCTGTTCAACCGCTTCGACTGCTTCGTGGTGTGTGGCGGCATTCTCGAGACGCTGCTTGTAGAGATGGATGTCATCCCGCCCATCGGCATCTCCGTGCTGCGTTGCATCCGGCTGCTCAGGATTTTCAAGATGACCCGGTAAGCAGAACCAGGAAGAACCAGACATTCAGATCAAACTTTGCTTCCTGCATGCATCCCAGCCTCATTTCTCCATCTTCAGGCACTGGGCTGCTCTCTCTGATCTGGTCACCTCACTGCTCAACTCCATGAAAGCTATCTGTTCCCTTCTGCTGCTGCTCTTCCTCTTCCTCATCATCTTCGCCCTGCTGGGGATGCAGCTGTTTGGAGGGAAGTTCAATTTTGACGAGACTCAGATGAAGAGAAGCACGTTTGACTCCTTCCCTCAGGCTCTGTTAACATGTTTCCAGGTGATTTACATCTATCTGGTGATATTCTCTATGGTAGAAGTTAGGGAAGTTATCAGTTAATGAATTAATTGTATTGATCAGCTAACGAGTTGATAAGCGGCCATTTTCTTAAAAACTCGAGTTTCCTCTTCGAACAAGAGTGACGACCGTCTTCCCATAACACAAAGGGCTACGTTTTTTATAATATACAAAATTTAAAAAACAAAAAAACATAGATTTTACAACTGTTTTGTATCAACTGTATTACTTATTATTTCTCACGTGAATAAACTTTGACACATTACAAAATATCTGCACATCTTCAGAAAGATACATGAATTTTCTTTCAGAAACTTTTAATCACTTGGCGAGGGGTTTTGAAAATCCCACTAAAATAGTTGTATTTTCTTATAAAATAATTGTATTATATATTTTTATGATAAAATTTGAAAAGGCAGAACACTCTTAGGTTGCTGTGTAGAAAAATAGAAGATGAAAATAATAACACGTGAAACATTTACAGAGATGTTATGCAATGAAAAATGTTAAAACTTGACACCATGAAGGTTATTAACTCACAACAGCCTCAAAAAGCAAACGTGCTTATTAGGATCATAGTTTTTTCCTCATCTTACATGTTAAGCATTCTGCTTTTCTGTCCCTCGTCTTCGTAGCACATCAATAATTTTTGAAGGAGAAGTTGTTGTTGCTCAGTCATGCAGTTCGACTGAATGAGAGCGATTAAAGTGAAACTTAAGAAGGTTGTCGAGTGTTTATATTTCAAAATAGAACCGCATAAAGAGCATTTTGCACCCCACACCCAACTCTGGACCGTTTCTTTTTCCCGTTTTGATTTGGCCTGCCGCCATCTTTGTTTCTAAATCAGCGGTTCCGTTCTCCTAAGTTTCTCCAGCGGCGCCCTCTGCTGGATCGGGTCCAAACTACAACACTGAAAGAAGGTCTAAACGGGCGTTATTAGTTAATCTTTTCGAAATAATAATAATAATAATAATAATAATAATAATAATAATAATAATAATAATAATTAATAATAATAAAAACATTAATCAACATCCCTACTCGAAGTTCTCCTTTTTGTCCGGTTGGGTTTCGATGTGTGCCTGTCCGTTGCAGATTCTCACCGGAGAGGACTGGAACGCCGTGATGTATGACGGCATCATGGCGTACGGCGGGCCGATCTTCCCTAACATGGTGGTTTGCATTTACTTCGTCATCCTCTTTGTCTGTGGTAACTGTATCCTTTTTCACTATTACAACTTTGAATCCAAGTTCTGTGTGAATGTCGTCCCACGAAGAAGCAACCAAATCCAACTCCTTGACTCTGGGATCAGACATCCTGCTGAACGTCTTCTTGGCTATCGCTGTGGATAACTTGGCAAGCGGCGGTGGAAAGAAAGCAGTAGAGTAAGTCGTAGCAATCATCAACCTCAGACACTTATAAAAAACATTTATATTTTCCTCTGGTTGTGCTTTGATCACATTAGAATGGTTTAATCAGAGCCGAACTGTGACGCTTCCTTTTTTATTCAGGGAGAAAAAGGAAGAAGAAGAGGATTGGGATGAGGACGAAGAGAAAGAGGATGAAGATGCAGGGGTAGAGCATGTTTAAGTTTTTCTTGCATATATTCACATCAATGCAGGACGTTTGCCCATGCTGAAATGAAACTCAGGTAGAGCAAACCTCCAACAAACGTGGTATATAAGATTCAATAGTTACCTGAAACATTTGGTAAGGCATTTTTACCTGATCAGTAAACAGAAAGTAAAAACTTTTTAAACGAGTCATACATCAGAGCCGTGAAGCTATTTGTGGAAAACCATAGAGAAACTGACATTAAAGTCCAAGGGTCTGAACTTAAAGGTAACTTATTAGGCTTTCTTGATCAGGTTGGGTCCAGTAGCCATTGTACAGCGGTAAAACCAGCTGACCAAACATGCTGGAGCTTTGCTTGGGTTGCTAGGTAACAGTGCAGTGCCTGTTGAAAGTCTGGAGGTTTTTGAAACAGCTAATTTTCCTGATACCAAAAACATCTAGGTGGGTTATTTTGAATACTTGGCTTGTTTTGAGAAGCAACTGAGACCCAAATGGAAATACAAATTGAATTTTGCACAATAGGTCCTCTTTAGTGTTTAATATATTTATTCAGGTTTTCACATTACATGCACAAAAACATACACATCACAACAAGGAAGAAGAAGGAAAAAGAGACTACCCCACAAACAACCAACATCCAATACCGTCGCCTGGTATGAAACAAATAAATTAAACCATACAAACACCAATGTCAAGATTTATGGATCCACCGCTCTGCCAGACCCTAAAGGACCTGCTATCTTGGACTTTTGTTGAACGTAGATTGAAAAAAGTCATAAAAGATTTCCAGGTTTTATAAAATAAATTTTCAGAGCTTTTCATCACATATCTGATTTAATCTAGTTTTAAATTAAGTAGTACATCCTTTATCTAGCAGAGTTCAAACTGCAGTGACCTTTCCACCTCCAGTAGGTAAATCTAAATCCTCTAGAGCAGTGTTTCCCAACCCTGGTCCTCGAGGCACACTGCCCTGCATGTTTTAGAAATTTTCCTGCTGTAATTCACCTCATTCTGCTGATTGAGTTCAGCAGAGACCTGCTAATTGAAATCACCTGTGCTGAAGCAAGGAAACACCTAAAACATGCAGGGCAGTGTGCCTTGAGGACCAGGGTTGGGAAACACTGCTCTAGAGTGACCACAAAAACAGCATAAGTGGGCTTGGGGTAATCTTATCCAAACACACAGGTCCCCTTTAATACTGTGTTTACAGTAAAATAAAGATGGTGGCCTTTTGTTTTTTGGCTTCAGAACGAAGAGGATGACTGGCAGGAAAACGAGGAGCTGAGAGCCATCGAGGGTCTGGAGGGTGAGTCTTTCTTCCCAGGAGAAACGTCACACATCAGCTGATTGACAGACATCTTAAAGCAGCTCGTCTTGTTTGTTTTCTTTATTCTAGGCGTTGCTCCACTGAAGCCCGAGTTCTCCGGCCCCAAAGAGAAGATTGTGCCGATTCCTGACGGAAGCTCCTTCTTCATTCTTGGGAAGAAAAACTGGTACCTGAAAAGTGTCCGTATCTAACAGAACCCTCAAACCGGTGCAGCGTGTGTGACTTCCCTCTCATTCGCTTCGTTCTTCAGTTTGCGAGTCGCCTGCCACAACCTCATTCACCACCCCTACTTCACCAACTTCATCCTCATCTTCATCATCCTCAGCAGCATCTCGCTGGCTGCTGAGGATCCCATCAAATCCCACTCTTTCAGGAACATCGTAAGGACAGGCTGCCACTTAACGTCAGCGTCTAATCCCGTTTCCGCGGCGATGCGACTGAAATCTGACTTTAGCTTCTGTCATCGTCAGGTGCTCGGATACGCCGATTATGTCTTCACTTCGGTTTTCACGGTGGAGATCGTCCTGAAGGTAACAGCTGACAGAATGAAAGTGGATAAATCAGAGCTTAAAAACTGAGAGAAGATTTTTTTCCTAATCTCATTTCTTTGCTGCCTCCTTCGCGTCTAGATGACGGTTTATGGAGCTTTTCTTCACACCGGCTCTTTCTGCAGGAACGCCTTCAACCTCCTGGACCTGCTGGTCGTCAGTGTGTCGCTCACGTCTTTCTTCTTACAGTGAGTAGACAGATGAGCGAGAATCTGCAGATTATCCTACAAGCCAACGGAGCTGCGACAGAAACTCAAAGGAAAAGAAATAATGGTTCAATTAGCTTAGTTTTGTATGGAAGCCCATTTGTGCCACAAAAAATAAATAAATAAAAAGAATAAAAGTCCAACAGGAAGTCATGATTTTGAGTTTTAAAGTGACAATTATGAGATTGAAAGATATCATTTAGAATTATAAAGTCATAATTACGAGATTCAAAGTCATAATTTTGATGTTCAGAGTTTTAATTATGAGATTAATTCATAATTATGATATTTTAAGTCATAATCTTGACTTTCAAAGTTATAATTTTCAAACTCAGACATAACTATGGGATATAGAGTTAGAATTTTAAATTTGAATTATGATATTGCTTCCCAATTTTGAGATATGAAGTAAGAATTTTGACTTTCAGTCATAATTTTGAGTTTTAAAGTCATAATTATGTTTTCTGCCATTTTTAAAAAATTTCCATTAGCTGGATAATTGTCTAAACTCTTTGTTTTGCTGTTTCCAGTTCGAGTGCGATCTCCGTGGTGAAAATCCTGCGAGTGCTCCGAGTGCTGAGGCCGCTTCGAGCCATCAACAGAGCCAAAGGGCTGAAGGTAAACGCCTCTGCTACATTTCTCTATTGGCTCACTTTTATTCTTTTTCTTATAACTTGACTTCTAAAAATCAATATTCTAGTTTCTTATTTTATCTGATACAGATATATAATTGTGTATATATATATATATATATATATATATATATATATATATATATATATATTGGTTTTTAATCAGCATTTAATCAGTATTTTAAATGCCAAAATAATTTAAAGCCGAAATGATTTTGGTTTAAAAAATATATATATATTAAATAAAAAAAAAATTAAAAATTTTAAATTTAAAACCGAAATGATTTTGGTTTTAAATATATATATATATATATTAAATAAAAAAAAATAAAAAATTTTAAATTTAAAACCGAAATGATTTTGGTTTTAAATAAAAAAAAATTAATTTAAAAAATTTCAGACTTTTAAATTTTTAAATAAAAAATTTGCTGATAAAAATGTATTTGATTATTGAATAAAACTGCTTGTGGTCTTGGCAGAACGTGGTGCAGTGTGTCTTTGTGGCGATTCGCACCATCGGCAACATCCTGATCGTCACCACTCTGCTTCAGTTCATGTTTGCTTGCATTGGAGTGCAGCTTTTCAAGGTTCCCTCACCTTCGCCAGTCTTTTCTCTCTTTATAAACGGAAAGTTTCCAGCTGCTGGCTGCTGGTGGCTAAACTCTCTGGTTTGGATGTTTTCAGGGCCGATTCTACAGCTGCACAGACGAAGCCAAACACACTCCAGACGAGTGCAAGTAAGTTTAATTTGCTCTCACAGCTTCCTGAAATTCCTGAAATTAGGTTTATTTGACTGCGAAGTTGTGTGTTTGTGTGATTCCAGGGGAACCTTTGTGGTGTATAAAGACGGGGACATGAACCACCCCATGGTCAGAGAGAGGATCTGGGAAAACAGTGACTTTAACTTCGACAACGTGCTGATGGGAATGCTGGCTCTGTTCACCGTGTCGACGTTTGAAGGCTGGCCTCAGTGAGTTTTGGGTTTGTTCTTCTAGTTCAGGGGTGGCCAAGTCCAGTCCTCGAGAGCTACCATCCTGCAACTTTCAGATGCATCCCTGCTTCAACACACCTGAATCAAATGAATGGCTTGTTATCAGGCCTCTGTAGAGCTGATCCTGGTGTGTTGGAGTAAGGATACTTCTAAAACTTGCAGGATGGTGGCTCTCGAGGACTGGACTTGGCCACCCCTGTTCTAGTTCAACGTATAACCGTTATTATTATTGCTATTCAGGGTTTCCAACAGAAAAAGCCCGGTGCGCCAGGGCAGTCATTCATCCAGCCAGTCGCCATGTTTATGAGTTAAAAAATGTTTAAAGTTGACAGGAAATTTGAAAATATCACTTGATAGCTTTGCGTTATTGGAAGACCGGAATATCAATACCTAAACACCAACTATAAAGTCTTATAAAAGGTCAATAATAAAAAAAACAACCTAAATAAACAAACAATGCTAAGTGGTTGTTATAAATGAAGTAATCTTCCAATGGACAAAGTACTTTTTTTGTCAATATTAAGGAAAAATAAGCTCCTATTTACTGCTGAAAAGTTTGTTTTGTTTTGGTCAAAGAAACTGGACCAAGAATTCTTGGTAAGATTTAGTTTTTGCAGTGCAGAAACCAGATTGCCATGTTTTGTGTTTTCTTTCTCTGTGAAGGCTTCTGTACCGGGCCGTGGATGCCAACGCCATAAACCGAGGCCCAATTTACAACTACAGAGTGGAGATCTCCATCTTCTTCATCATCTACATCATCATCATCGCCTTCTTCATGATGAACATATTCGTGGGTTTCGTCATCATCACTTTTCGGGAGCAAGGAGAGGCCGAGTTCAAAAACTGCGAACTCAACAAGAATCAAGTCAGCCATTTTTTTAAAGATATTTGAATTGTTTTAATTTCAGATTAAATAAATTGATTGTATTTTCGTCTAACTGATCCAAACTGACCAGTTTTTCTCTCTGTTTCGCCCGACGCAGAGGCAGTGTGTGTATTATGCCCTGAAAGCTCAGCCAATAAAGATTTACATCCCTAAAAACCCGTCGCAGCTGAAGTTCTGGAGGATCATCAACTCCAGCCAGTTTGAATATGTCATGTTTGTGCTGATTTTGGGAAACACTCTCACTCTGGGTGTTCAGGTACCGTTTTTCTACTTGAGTTACTTATTTCAAACAGATTTTCAAAAACAAAGAAATAAGCAATCAGTAGGCAAGACAACTTTATCTATATAGCACTTTTCATATGGGTAATTTTTCCTGCCATAATCCAAGAGCACACATTTTCAGTATGAAAACCTGAACCTTTAATATTTTTGCTTACAATTTCATTTTGAAAGCAGGACTTCATGTCTTTTGTTCTCAACCTTTAATACTTTTGCTTACAATTTCATTTTGAAAGCAGGATTTCATGTCTTTTGTTCTCAAAACTTTAAGAGCATTCAGGATCTTGATTTGGCCCAAAACGAAAATGAGTTTGACACCCCTGACACAGACAAAAAGGTTACAAACGGACTCATAACATGACAAGAAAATCTATGGAATAATAATAATATTAGTAACAACCGGACATTTCTTCCCTGAATCTCTCAGAAAATCCTGAAAATAATTTCACGTTGGTGTTTTTATTTATGTTTTTAGCATTATGAGCAGTCGAAGTTGTTCACCTCCATCATGGACATCCTCAACATGATCTTCACTGTGGTATTCACCATAGAGATGATCATCAAGCTGATGGCTCTTCGAGCTCATGTGAGTTTTCCCGCCGCACGCCGAGTTTCCTGGTGATGACTCTTTGACTTCACGTTCCTGTTTGCTTGTTTTCATCTGTCAGCATTACTTCATCGACCCCTGGAACTCATTTGACGCTCTGATTGTTGTCGGCAGCGTCTTGGACATCGCAGTGTCTGAATTTAGCGTAAGGAGTTTTCACCCACATTTACCTTTGGAAGAAATACTTGGAAAAGTTTTTAGAATGTGTTAATTATGCACCTCTTTATGACACTTTTTCCTTCCACTCAACTTTCCATCAATACAATCTCAGCTTCGTTATTAAAGTGTTTCTAAAATAAAGATAAACACTTATCTTGATTTTATGTTAATCAGATAAATTTATTTCAGTCTGGCTTCTTGTTGCCGTCCAGTAAAAGCAGAATTAACTTGGAAATAGTTTGGTAGTAAACATCCAGTACCTTGATAATAATATGTAATTATCATTGTAATTACAATGTAATTACCAGTTAGTAACAGTTTGTATTAAGATATTAGCAATAAAATAGTAACTTAATGTTTAGAAATGTAATGATTTTGATTATTTATTAAATAAAAATTGGATATTATGCGTGTTTATATCATACTTTTATATTTTGAATGTGCTTTCTATTTTTATTGTGATTTATTTCTTTTGTTGTTTTAAATTTGTGTAACCATGGACTTAATGTCTGCTGATGATAAAATGTTAATTGTAACATGATTGTAACAGCTCACAGAAAGTTATTAAAGATAAAGTAATTATTTGAAAACAATCTGATAATACGCTAATTCCATGTAATTAACAACATTATTACACTGTAATTATCAGGTAGTTCCTTATTATTAAAAGATGTCAACAACGGAGAATACAAAAACAATTAGGAATTGTTTAAAAATAGAAATAATTCAATGTATTTTTAACTGTTTCTTTCTCTGTTGCTTAACTGATGATCCAGGGAGGAGGCGGCCATGGAGAGGTGATTATTGGATCAAGATGCCGTCAAACCTTTCTCCCGTTTCTATTAGGGTTTATATTAACCCGAATAGTTTTGTTTTTCCAGGGTGGTGGAAAAGGAGAAGGCGGGAAAGTGTCCATCACCTTCTTCCGCTTGTTCCGAGTGTTGAGGTTGGTGAAGCTGCTCAGCAAAGGAGAAGGCATCCGAACTCTTCTCTGGACTTTTGTCAAATCCCTGCAGGTCAGAGACTCTTCTGTCACAAATATCGTCTTATTACTTTTTTATACTCTATTTAAAAAAAAACAGCTGTGGTTGCCAAAATTTTACCGTATAAATGTGATAAAATTCATATGCGGTAAAATTCTGCCGGCATTTTACCGGGACATGAGACGATTTTTATTTTTTTTCCGTCTCTCCAGGCCTTGCCGTACGTCGGCCTCCTCATCGCTATGATCTTCTTCATCTACGCTGTGATCGGCATGCAGGTGAGTCTCTGGAAAAGGTTGGAACGCTGCTTTTCCTGGTTAACAGTTTCTCTGCTGTTTGTCCGCCCAGATGTTTGGGAAAGTAGCCATCGATGACGACACAGACATCAACAGAAACTGCAACTTCCAGACCTTCTTCATGGCGGTTCTGGTTCTTTTTAGGTAAGACGTTTCAACTCGCTTCTTCCAACAGCGGTTCTTAAACCTTATTGGTCTGGAAGTTGACTGAAATTTCTGTTAGATTAAATAAAAAAAAACAAAGTGGTGCGTAATTGAAGAGTAGTAAAACTGAAAGTTGGGAGGAGACTTCTTGGTGTCCCTCATGCTCGTCTACCACCTCCTGCACATTTCGTCTAGATAAATACAATGTTTATTTATCGTTTATTTGACGTGACTCACCGTTTTTGCTGGTCGGATTTGGATAGCTCAAATGAGGGGAAGTATTTTCAAAACGTAAAAGTTATAACTTCCTGGCTGATCCTCATCCAGGAAGAGGATCCTGCCTCTGTAGTCGTAACTCGATTGGTCGTAGATTATAGGACGAGAGCAAACGGCTCATTTAGTTTATCTGAGATCACGTCAGAAGATGTACCACTACGCCACAAACCGGAGTCTCTCTGATTGGGTGATGCTCTGCGTCCAGGGTCGAAAGTTCAGATTTTCCATCTCCAACATTGGAAACTTTGAATTCCCTTAATGTGCGTCAAAATCTCAAAGCGCTTCAAAACGCGCCTCCACATAAACCTCCTGATGCTTTAAATGCGTTTGGTGTGAACGCACTGTCAGTCATCTAGCCATCTAAACATAGTTATCACTATGCATATCTATACTACACCTAATAGTTTAAAACCTCCCATCAGTTTTCTTCCATCTCCCACCAATGCTGTACTTTGTATTGATCCATTACGTAAAATCCCAATAAAAGACATAGATGTCGTTAACATAACAAAATGAGCCTGAAGGAGCATGTAAACCAGGCTGAATTAAAACTGCTTCCTGTGTTGCAGGTGTGCCACTGGAGAGCAGTGGCAGCAGATCATGCTGGGCGCGCTGCCCGGCCGGCGCTGCGACCCGGAGGCCGACGTCGAGCCCGGCGAAGAGTACACCTGCGGGAGTAACCTGGCCTACCTTTACTTCATCAGCTTCTTCATGCTCTGCGCTTACCTGGTGAGCGAAGGCTGACCTGACGTTTTACTTTTCCCCTCGCTTCACTCAGATAGTCTTCAGATTACGGGCTCTAAATTTAGCTGCAATTAATTCAAACCCTGAGCGTCGACCGACTGCCAGGTCAGGCGGAATCGAAGCTGGATGAAAATAGGGACGGCAGCATTTCAGAGGCAGCACACTGACGGTTTTGTTTATCCACAGATGAGTGGTGATGCACGCCCGCATCACAAAGGTTTAATGGGCTGCACATATTTGGGTACAGGAGCTAATATGCTCCCTGTGCTATTTTAAGATGCTAGCTCGGTCGGCTGAAGGTGAATCTGAGCCGTCAGAACAAAAACCTGCGGCTCAAACAGCAGCTGCACACCTAAAGAAACGGAAAGTAAACGTTTTACGGTTGGGCTTTCATGTCATCAGTTATATATGATTTAACTCCCTTGAACATGTTAGGATAGAGCAGTGGCCTACACAAAGCATGTTTGTTAAATTTTTTTGCACAAAGTCATTCTTAGAAAATGAGATTTTAGTCTGATCAGTTCAGAATGTTTTAGGGCTGCTGTCACTTTAAATCCAAATAAGCTGCTGCTGGGTTTACACCGTCACATGAAAATGGCTGGAAACAGATGTCCAGTTATACAACTGTCCATTTTGAAAAGCATTAGTAGAGCTTCCTGCGCAACCAACATTATTCCCTTGCTTTTTAGTGAACTTTAATTCTTTGTTTTTATTTGAGAAACAGTTTCTTTTTAAGACAGTTGTTCCATCTGGTTTTGGATGACGTGCAGCTGGAAGGACCTTTGCTCTTTCTTTTACTTGGTTGTTTTTCCTGTGTGGCTCTGTGACGGACTGTGGACCCGTCCAGAACTCTGGACCACCAAACTCTCCTGTGCACCCAGTCAACCTGCTAGTAGCATGGCTAATTCTGAGCTAGTTAATACTGGAGGTGTTTGTATAACTTTTTGAGCCTTTATTTGTAATGTTCCTGCATGAATCACAGAAAATACTAAATAAATTCAAACTCAAACTTTTAACACACGTGCTTGAAAACCTCTAATTCTTGCCTTTACACTGCAAAAACACAAGATTGTACCATATTTTAAAATATTTTTGTGCTGTTTCTACTGCAAATACACTTGAAATAAGACAAAACTAACTTATAAATTTCTTTTCAACAAGATGTAGAGGATTGTTTTAAGTAAATAATTTCTTAATATTGATGAAAAAGTTATAGTTCATCTGGTAAATTATTTTATTTACAGCCTGGGAAAAATATCTTGCTATAAGTGAAATAATCTGCCAGTTGAACTAGTAATTGTTTTATCAATATTAAGAAATTATTCACTTAAAACAAGCTCCTAAATCTTGTTGAAAAGCTACTGTTAGGTTTTGTTTTATTTCAAGTGCGCTAAGATATTTGCTCTAAGAACTAAACAAAAATACTCAGTAATATTTTGTGTTTTTGCAGTGTACAATAGCTTTTCTTCATATATTTAAACAACACACTACTGTGTCATATTTCATTTGTTGTAATACATCTCCAGAATCATTTTGTTACATATATAAACTCCCTTTCTGCTTCTCTTTTCTCTCAGATCATCAATTTGTTCATTGCCGTCATCATGGACAACTTTGAGTATCTGACCCGAGACTGGACGGTTCTGGGGACTCACCACCTGGACGAGTTCAAGCGGGTTTGGTCTGACTACGACCCAGAAGCCACGTGCGTCTCACTGTCTGAGTCCAGCTTCACCGTTTCCGAAGCAAACTTCTCTGTCTCACCCGTTTTCTGTTTGCAGAGGTCGCATCAAGCACATCGATGTCGTCACTATGCTACGCAGGATTCAGCCTCCTCTCGGCTTTGGAAAGCTTTGTCCTCATCGCGTTGCTTGCAAAGTAAGAGTGAGCACGTGCAGAGCTGCAAAAACGCAAAATGTTACTGAGTTTTTTTCTGTCGTTTCCACAGCAAATATATTAGCGCACTAAAAATAAGACAAAACTGACGTTCAAGTAACTTTTCAGCATAATTTTAAGTCAATAACTCCTCAGTGTTGATTAAAAAAAATACTAGATCCCATGTTAGAAATAATCTGCCAATATTTATCAATATTGAGGAATTATTGACTTAAAATATAATGCTTTTTAGTTCTGTATTATTCCACATGTATAAAGTTATTTTCACTAGAAACTGGATTAAAAATACCAGGTAAAATTCTGTGTTTAATGAACAAAATGCTCAGAAAGTAAAGCAAACAAATCCCACTGGACACAAATATGTAATCCAGTTCATATTTTTAAAATAGTTTCAAGTGTGATTATTAATCTTATGCTAAATAAAACTTTTTATTTATCATAAAATAAAACCCAACACAATTAATGTAACTTTTAAATTATGATTTGTGGTTATGCATTTGTGTTTTTGCAGTGTATGAAATGAAATGAGCAGATTTCATATTTTCTGCTTCCTCGTTTCTCCTCAGAGGCTGGTGGCCATGAACGTTCCCCTCCACCCCGACGGGACCGTCACCTTCAACGCCACTCTGTTCGCTCTCGTCCGAACTTCGCTGAAGATCAAAACTGAAGGTCGGGAGGATCCATGGAGCCGCGTGGCCAAACGGCGTCTTTTATTTAACAAATCTGTGTTTGGGTTCCACCAGGTCCCGTTGATCAGCAGAACGAGGAGCTGAAGATTATCATCAAGAAGCTGTGGAAACACACAAAACCCAAACTCATCGATGAAATCATCCCGCCCCCTAGAGGCAAGACGCAAAACTGCCAAACGCCAATCCCAGAAATATGGAGGATTAGGGCCGCTGAAAAAAACAGAAAAATAATTATGGCTCTAGCAATATAATATAATTTTTTTCTCAGAATTTTGACTTTTCTCAGAATTTTGAATTTATGTCAGAATTCTTACTTTCTTCACAGAACTCTGACTTTTTTTCCTCTGAATTCTGACTTTAATCTAAAAATTGTGACTATTTCTCAGTATTTTCACTTAATCTCAGAATTCTGGTTACTTTTCTCAGAATTCTGACTTTTTCTTAGAATTTTGACTTTTTATGAGAATTCTGAGTTTTTCTCAGAATTCTTACTTAATCTAAAAATTTTGACTTTTCCTCAAAATTGTGATTTTAATCTAAGAATTCTGATTATTTTTCTCAGCATTCTGACTTTTTATAAGAATCAGAATTGTATAATTGTCCGTGCACCATTTGGCATATCTAGTCGTTAAACTGAAATCCACCAGATAAATTTGCTCCAGGCTTTCAGAGTGGATAAAATTCAGGTTTGCAAATTCTACAAGGAAGAAACCGTTATGTAATTATTTTTCACATACTAATAGCAATATAAGTGACACACACCTCAAAATGTTTAGTTGTTTATTTGGATTTTGACAGATTGACAGAATTAAAATTCTGATTAAAAAAGTCAGAATTTCATTTAAGTTCTTGGTGGCCCTATTCCTCTTCTGTACAGAAATTAAGACATTTCTAAATTATTCAACATAAGGAAACAATGCTGTCTTGAGTTTTCATATTTGCATGTCTGTTTGCGTTCGTCAGGCGATGAGGTGACTTGTGGAAAGTTTTATGCCAGTTTCCTGATCCAAGATTACTTCAAAAAGTACAGAAAGAGGAAAGAGAGGGAAAGAAAATCCAAGAGGAAGGACAGGGCTGCTGCACTGCAGGTAAGATCTAGTTTTTAATTTAAATCCTTTCTATGAACACAAACAAAAACGTCTCTGAGTCTCTTTTTATGTGAAGTTTGTGAAAAGGATTCTTTTCTCATTTACATCTGGTTTTTAGCATTTAGCACCACAGCTAAATGTTTTTAAACTCTTAATAAATTAAAAGAGGGAAGAACAGATTATATTCCACTTAGAAACATATTAAAGGAATTTGCAGAAGCAGAACTGTACCTCTATTATTTGTTTCTCTATTATATAAATGTACTCAAATAATTGATTTTATTTTTGTAGTCTTTTTATTATGATTATTTTCATTTTAAAAAAATGTGTATGACAAAGGATAAAATATTTGCCGAGTCTGTAAAAAAAAAAAAAAAATCTTTCTGTTTTAAAATCTTTCTGCTTTTCTGCAAAATCGCCGCCTACCACTAGGGGGCGCTAAAGGCGCGTAAATGTATGTTTTTCCACTACATTTGCATTCAGCCCTGCTGTTTGTTCACAGTTAAAATCTGTAGCTGAAAAAAGGTTAAGAAAATCTAAATAACTGTGTGCAGTAATAAGTAAAAACTTTTGGCAGATCAGCAGCTAATTAAACATATTTATATATAAAAAATAATAAAAGTTCACCTAAAATATAGTCAAGATCTTGTGTTTTCTAAAAAAAAAAGATGAAGGCAGTCTATCTGAAAAATTTTTTACGCTTAAAAATTATTTTGAATTAATTTAATCTTTTGTAGATATGGCTGACATGAAGCGCCCCAAACAATGTTATGATTTATTAGATGTGGATAAATCAAGAAGCTGTAATGTAATGTCAACATACAGGATCAGTTAATACAATAAACTTTAAACAACATGCTTATCGCTTTTAACGTCTTTCTACATACATGGGTTGTTTCCAAGTTAGTTTTTCATCGATAAATTTCTCAATGTAAATTTTTTCGTTTTTGATACTAAAAATCATGCAATCATAGATTTCCCAGCATGCATCCTGTGAGCATTTGCTGTAAGTACCTTCTGTGTTTTAGCAAGGGCTGCGGACGCTGCAGGACCTGGCTCCAGAGATGCGCCTGGCGATGGCCTGCGACCTCGAAGAAGAGGAGGCCACCGAGGGCGAGATGACGGGCGACGAGATCTTCGACAGCGAGCCGGGGACGTCGGCGAACCCCACGCCCGCCAGCACGCCGATGCCGCCTCTGGACCTGCTGGTGGAGCACACGGCGGTGATCATGGAGCCCACGCCCCGGGGCGCCGGCGGGGAGGTGATCACCACGCAGGTGGAGGCCGTAAAGGAACACCTGAGGCCCGGATCGGAGCTGGCCGGACTGAGAGTCGTGACTGAGCAGCCCACAAGGTCCGAACCGCTTCCCGTCAGGTACCGACTGCATCGCAACTGGTTACAGTTACTCACATTTACTTGAGCTACTTTTAGGCAAAATTATAGTTTAAGAAGCATTTGCACTTTTACTTGAGTCATTTAATTATGAAGTATTTCTACTCCTACTTAAAATGTATGGACTCTCTGCCCTGCAGTTTCTGTTAAAGTTTTATGAGTTTTCTGTATGCTGATTCTGTTATTTTGTTACTTATAGGAATGATTTTCACTTTGATCGTTTGAAAATTATTTAAATTTCGGTCCGTCTCTGGGTTTCCTCCAAACGTCTCGCTAAGCCCGGTGGCAGGGATGCTACGGCGGCCCACCGGTTGCCCCACCGTGATTTTTGTTTCAATATTTTAAAAGTTTAAAAGAAATTTTGGAAGTAAAACATCAACAACAAAGAAAATACAGCAGTGGATGAAATGAAACTAGTCTTTCTGTAGGTTGTTCATGTTTAATTAAGTGTCATTATCTTTCTAAATAGCTAATTTTTGAAAATTACTGATGCTTTGTCATATATAAACCCATCTTTGCTGATACTGGTGACACGTTGTCTGCTGTTTTATGTTATGGTTTTTCTTGACTCGGTTCTTTCTTCTCCATCAGCGATTCGCCTCTTCCTCCACCTCCACCGGAGATATCGGGAGGAGAAGACTTTTTCCTCAAAGACGCGCTCTTTCCAACTCAAAGTGAAGCGGCAGAGCAGTTTTACAGCAGTGAGGCGTATGCAGCAAGCATACAGTCAGTCGATGGGTGAGGAATAGAGTCTGAATATTTAAGGTTTTTAATGGGGACCTTTTATGTGTCTGGAAAATGGGCAGTTTCAAAAACCTCCAGAATGTTAAGTCACTGTGCTGTTAGCTAGCAACCCCACCGGAGTCCAGGCCCGTTACCTAGCAACCAAGTGGAGCTCCAGCACATTTGTTCAGCTGTACAATGGCTGCTGAAAAACACAAGTGTTTAATTGTTGACTAAGCATTCAGAAAACAGTTAATACTTTCTTGTTGGTTGTGCAGGAGGCTCCACTTCTGCTTTTCAAAGATGTATGGTATGCAGCCTTTTTCATGAGGGAGTGTAAACTTTGATTTGGGGGCGTGGCCAGCAGCTTATTTGGATTTAAAGTGACAGGACACCATAAAACGACTCATTCTGATAGGTAGGGTGAATTGGCAAGACAGAAATCTGATTATCTAAGATTGATTTTAGATCAAATATGTAATGAACGTGTTTTGTACAGTCTATAAACCAGCCTTAATCTGTTCAAAGAAGCATCATAGGTCAACTTTAAACAAAAAATAACATTTTTCAGAACTACCACATGCCATATTTCCCCTCTTTCCCTCTTCATTCTTGCAGGTTTGAGTATCAAGAGGCGATTTCTCCTGTACCAACCGAAACAGGAGACAACGGCCAGAGTTTGGACGTAGCCAGCAGCATAGGAGAAATTCCCTATGAAGGTCACGACCCCAATGGCTTCATCAGCAAGGCCTATAATGAAAACAACATGAATGGAGGCAGCGCCGCCGTCAGCCCGGCTCCCTACGACGCAAACGAATACAACAGCAACGGATACACCGGCTACAACAGGAACGAAAGTACCATGAGCGGCTACAATGACAATGGCAGCACCGTCAGCGGTTACAATGGGAGCACTGGTTACAATGGGAACGGCTACAATGGGAACGGCTACAATGGGAACGGCTACAACGGGAATGAGAACAGTGGAGCCCATTTTGTCAGGAGACGATTACTTCCTGCCATACCGAAAGGTCAAGAACAATTTTATTGATTCAAACTAGCGTTATTAACATGTTTAATATAATTAGCTTAGCTTAGCTTAGCTTGGTTTTATTCAGTTTAATTTAGCTTAGTTTAGTTTAGCTTACAATAGTATTGCTTATTTTAGTTTAGCTTTATTTAGTTTGCCTTAGCGTAGCTTAGTTTAATTAGCTTGGCTCAGCTTAGTCTAGTTTAGTTTATTACAGTTTAATTTAGTTTAGTTTAAATAATCCTGCGCTCTTTTTTATGTCTTACATTTTACACATTATTCTTTATTTAAGGAAAAATTGCATCCTTTGCTATTTTGTTTCATTTTAGGAAATAAAATGTTTGTTTTCTTATTTTGAAAAATGAACTAAAGAAAAAAATGTAAAAATCCAGAATAATTTCTTTCACAGTGGAGAGTCCAGCAGTCGGTTTCTGAGTCGGTTTTACGAGCGAACAGTTACTGAAGCTGCAGACGTTTATTGTTTCTCGCTGCTTCAGGTCGGAAACCTGCGTTTAGCTTCCAGTGTCTGAAGCCTCAGTCCAGCGCTGACGACCTGCCCGTCCCTGGAAGCTACCGGGGGAACACATCTCCGTCCAGATCCCGCCTGCAGGTGAGAGCCACGAAAAGGTGACCACACGTCGTCTCGTCTTCCTCCAGTTAGTCTTCACCCACTGCTGCTGTCTGCCAGAACCAGCAGAGCCTGGACTCCCGGCCCAGCAGCGTGTCCTCCATGTCATCCGCCTCCTGGGCCAACGCGGCGGCGGCCGGAGCCACGCCCCTTCCAGGAATAATCGCCCCCACCGCGCGCCGCGGAAAGCTCATCTACACGCCCATGATCCTGGTGGACGAAGAAAGCGGCTCCAGTCAGCCGCTCTGGTGCGACGGCTCTGCCAGCCTCCCTGCAGGGAAGCGACCGGGCTGGTACCCGGGTCAGACCAGAACCTTCACCAGCGTCAGGATGCCGCCTGCGGCCAACCAGAGCATCATAGATAAAGGCAGCGCAGACAGTCTGGTCGAATCGGTACGTTTTCCTTACAAAGTGATGTAGATGTTTTTTTATTCATCACATTTAATCAACTTTCAGAAATATTATTCTGATGGCGTTCACAGAAAGCCATGTTTAGTCGCTTTAAGAACCAATCGAGACGCGATCGGCAAACAAACCCTCAAAACTTAAAATCTATGAATAACCAGAAAAGTAACAGTAAAGAAATACATTTAAGACTTAATTAAATGTCTTTAATTACTGTATCAGTCTGTAGTATTTAACTTGCAAGGCCAAAGTAATCGATCGTAGATCACTACATCTGCAATCACGAGATCTGCAATCACAGACTATTGGCGAGAAACGATATAATTTTGCTGAATGCTTTTTCTTTTTCTTTTACTTTTTTATTTATCTGAAATAGTTTTATAACCACGACATGGGCAACATATTAATCTCTCCGACTCCCAACAACAGATCTTGATCTCCGAGGGCCTCGGTATGTACGCCAGGGATCCAAAATTCGTGAGCTTTGCCAAGCGGGAGATTGCCGAAGCGTGTCACATGAGCCTGGACGAGATGGAGAGCGCGGCTGCGGACCTGATAGCGCGGGGAGCCAGTCACCTGACCCGCTTCGAGGACGAACTCGCCGACGAAATGAACTGCGTGATTTCTTACTGAGATCAGCAAAGCCAAAAACAAAAGGAAAAACAGTAAGAACATGAAGCCAATATTTTATAAGAGTGTTTATATGTCAGTTATTTAAAGCAAGTATCGAGTGTGAGCGGAGGTTTTTGTAGTTTTTAAACATCCTGTTGGGCATGAAATGCTTTTGTTTGTGAATGCCAAAACATGCACACAGATGAGGCTCAGGGAGTTTTATATTTACACAGCAGTGCTATATAAAGTCAAACTTTTGCTTTTAAATCATGATAACAGAGGATTTTTAAACATACCATAACACATCTTTAAATTCAGATGCTATCTGAAGGCATTATCTGTTTTAGATAAATGTAATTAAACTGAATATCCTCTAAGCTGCAGCGTTGAAACTTCTGTTAAAAAAAAGGCTGCTGTGTATTTCTTGATTATTGTGTGTTCATCCGTGTTGCTTTACATTCTGAGCAAATAAAACATGTTTTCTCAAACAACTCGTCTTTCATTTATTTTTCTGTTTGACTAGTGTGAGGATTTCTCCACCTGGTAGGAGGAATAGTGAAATATAACCAGTGAATTATGCAATCAGTGATTAATAGACTGGCAGATGGACGACAGCTGGGTTTCACTTCCCCCTTCAAAGAGATGAAGCATGCCAAACAATAGGCTGCATGTGTCTGCAGCAGAGTATTGTTGCACTCATATGGCAGCATTTTACATTTATCTCATTTCCTTATAATTTGCAAGGTGGAAATACCCACAAAAAGCTAAATCTAGTCATGTAAATGGCTCAAACACACCAGACAGAAATTATTTTTAATTTTTTCTTTCTTGTGATGCCACACATGAACATAGTGTTTTGTTTGATTTTCTTCAAATAAATCCTCAGCTGTTACTCAGACCCAATCAGAGGCTTGCAAGTCATGACGTCATCACCTGGGTTTTACCCACCTGTTTAAAGGTGGAGTAATTTTTTTATGAAGTATTAAGTTTTTTCTCTGGCATTTAGCAAGGGAAATATTTTTGGTAACCCTCGCAGACATTTAAAATGCAAAGTTTAGTCAGAATTAATGTCAGACAGTAAGAAAAAATGGTTATGTCTTTTTAAATGTTGCATATAAATATCTGGTTTATTTGTGTATTTTTTGCAAAACATTGAAGAGATGCTAGAGTAAAACAATTTGTTATTATTGAATGAAAATTTATTTTATTTATTTAGCCTCATTATTAATTTTATTTAAGTGAGTTTTATTTTTATAATGAATAACTTTTTTTAAATTGTAATTTCCATTTTCTTGCTTCTCTTTTTGTTAAAATTCTATCTAAAAGTAAACAAATGTAATTATGCGGGAACAGAGTCCGTTCAACGTAAGATATGTTTGTTTTCTAGGCTGGTTTAACTGAACTCTTCAGTTTAATTTATATTTTTTTGTTTTTACTTGCACAGCTCATGTCAGGTGACCTTGCTGCATCATAATGTCTCACTAGACTTCTTTTGTTTTTTTAAAATTCCTTTCATTTCCGCTCTACGCTGCTCCTTGTGTCTGTTTGAGCATGAACAGTCTCCGTGCGCTCCTTTCTTCGTCCCAATCCGCTCCAGGCAATCTGCTCTCCTTGGAACAAAGCTGCGCTCTGATTGGACAGACGGTGCCGCTCCTTTCTACTCCAAGTGCAGCGACTCATTGTGACGTCAATACGCTTGGCGGCATAGACGCAGAAGCCTCCTGAGCGTCTGGAACTCACGCCATATGGCAAGCCATTTTAACATAAATTCGGTTTTACCGCCCTTACATTCCAGATATCTCAAATTGTTTTATGACTAGA